CGATTTACCGCTATCATGAATAACAACTCGAGCTTTAAACACTCATTTTTGTTTTTAAATGTCTGTGAATCATGTCGCATTGAAGTAGAAGTATAATGTAAAGACATCAAAAGAAAGGCGTTCTATGCATGAAGTCCGTGTTTTTAAATATCAAGTCCATCTTAGGAAAAAGACCTTAGACGAAAAGTCCGAGTAACCCTGCTGTGACCAGGAGGGCGGATGTGACGGTGACTGGCCGGTTCGCTAATGCTCCACCCATGCTGGGGAACTGAGAAGGTTCTACAGTCTGCGGATCAATGCCTCCTGGTGGCAATGGAGTAGATGTTCCAGTTCCAGTTCCCGTGCGGCTCGTGCTCGTCCTTGTGCTATTGCCTGACGCAGAAGCGGTTTGGTTGCCTGACTGTGAGACAGACGCAGTGGACGACGGCTCGAGTCCTATTGTTGTAAGGAGTTGCAGACTAGTGGGGCTTGCGGTACCACTATTCGATGCCTAATGACCGAGACCAAAAAGTTAGCTAAAATGCTAAAATGCACCCTATGCCCTGCGGCACGAATACCTACGGTTGTTGATTGTGCTTGAACCAAATCAGGAGATAAACCCAGGAGTAACAATGCAAAGACAATGAGCGTGTATGGGGCCATCATGTTTTCTGGTTGATTATGCCCGTTTTCGACGTGGGTCAAGCTAGGATGGCGGTGGCTGTGTCAGCGGATGCGGGTTATAATACGGCTTTCACCCATACCCCTCACGAACACGATCACAATCACAATACTCGGATTCAAAAAGGAAAGGAAATATTTTGCAAGCTTAATGGGTCTGATCAATAACGAGCTATGCAACTGGAGTACCATCGCCTCGACATGACAGGATCGTCATCCAAGTTTCTGATAACCCACTCTCTTCGCATCCGATTTGGAGCCCGTTATCCCTCAATACAAAATATTCTCGATGTACAGTTTGTACAGACGCAACTGCTGGATGATAGGCTCGACCGGTCCGAGTGTGGAGGTGGGCACTCTCCACATGGTGATGTCTGCAAAAAAAAAGCATATCAAATATGGGTTATCTGTGATCAAATGCAATCGGAACATACTCTGGGAGGAGGATGTTGACTTCATCACGAGGTCTGATCATCGTTTCGGCGGAATTGCCGGCGATTTCCATCGCCATTTGGTTATAGGTCATCTGCTTGCCACTGATGCTGAAAACGACCATGAAACGCGTGTAGGAGGAGAGGAGAATGCATACCTGTTGGCTACGACAGAAGCCATGACATACTTTTCTGCGATTTGACGCTTGATTATGCCCAGTTCCCCTTCACCCTCAATCCTGCGCAGCCATGCTTTACTGATCCCATTTTCGAATTCTTCTCCGTTTGTCCATTTGAGGAAATCCTTGATTCTCTTCGGAGGTCTCTCTGCGTTCGTGAGGGAGTCGACAAAGTTTAGCCAATCAGGCCGGACACTAAAGTCGGCGGCGGCGGCGCTCTGTTTTCGACCCAAAGGTTCCCCTGTGGATGCCAAAACATGCACCGAGTATATAGATGCCGATTGTTTGGACACAAATACACGCCAAATCTCGTTGCCCGGCAATTTTTCAAGTTTAATGGCCGATTCATCAAGCATCCCTCCACTCGACATTCCATAGAGCGATACAACGTGCCAGAGTTTGGATAAAGTAAACCTTTATTCGATAAATAAGTAAATATTGACAATGTACGTAAGAACGGTTACCTGAGCACAGAAGCCACCTCGTCGCCCTTTGATGGATTCGTCCACAGGTGGTCTGACATCGGTTTTGGTATCCACTTTGACAAAAACTGCTTCGAATACAATCCTTTCAAATATTCCATCTCTTGCTGGCGACAACGCAAATAGGGCCATAAATTGGAAAAGCAATCCTGCGCACGGACAAGGATGGTCTTTGTGCGTTCACCCGGAAACCTTTCACAGAGCACAAATTGGCAAGACACGTAGACTGAGATTTATCCGTTCATGTTCAGTCTAGAAAGGACTGGCAACCGTTCTATCTTACCGGCATAGCGCAACAAGCGACTAGACAGGCAACATGCCCTTCTTTCCGCATCCCCAAGATCCCTCAGAACAAGTGCCAGCCCTTTGACACGTTTTCTTTGTGCCAGAGATGGAGGCATCGTGATGTTGCTCAAAGGGAACGTGGCCTCTTGCAAAGTGGTCACAAACGGTTCAAACATTTCTCGAGTATCGGCGAGTAGAGCTGAAGCAGGTATGAACGATTGCGTACGCGATCTCCTCTTTTTACCCAACGGAGATTTTGTCACGGTAGGTCTGAGCGGAGTGAAACGCTGATGTTTTCCAATCGACTTTCTAGACGTGATCGCCTTTCCAAAGGGCATACTATTCGCGACCGCTGAGCTTTGTAGCGGAGTCGGTACTATTGGATCATTTGGTTCTTGCTGTATAGAAGGCTGCCTTGATAATCTTTTCTGGGCCGACTCACGAGACGACCTTCGTCGAAGCAGGCTCGACAAGGGCAGAGCATAAGGTGACTGTTTCTGCGCACGCTTAATGGACGAAAGTCGCTTTCTATCCAATACACGACTAGAAGAAGAGAACCCATTTCCAACTTGGTGACCTTTGGGAGCTGGAGGCCGTGCCACAGCCGGAGCTACTGACGAATTTACTGCCGAATCTTTGATGCTTGCGTCGAGAAAAGACTGATTAGCTTTTGCTACTTGATCTAGAAAATGTAATGCCCGGGCCACCGTTGGATCCTTGGTCGCAGAATCGACACCTTCAACCGACACACTCGCCCTGATCGCTTTTCTCCGGGAAACCACCGCAGTAAACCCACCATCTTTAGCTAAACCATTGGGAATAGGTGGTGCAGCAGTGCTGGCTGAGAAGACTGCCGCGGGTGACGAGACCGAGTCAGATATCTGAGCCTGACCGTCCGCACAGGTAGAACTGGTGACTGCTGTATTATCAACACGAGGAGAAGCGCCATTTCTGACGAAATCTGTTTCTTTATTACTGGATGACTTGCTCTCAGTCTTCTTTGGCTTCTTTTTGGTCGTGCTCTTTTGCTTTGTGGGCTCGACGTTCGCCACAGCCGTATTGCTGGTAGCGGCCCTATTCTGACTGCCCGGTCCAGGCATATCTGTATTAAAAGAAACATGAATAGAAGTCGTATTTGCTGTTTGTGCAGTTGCGATAGCGCTCGGTGCAGTCGTATCACCTCCACTCGCCGTCTTGGTCTTTTTCGCCGTGGACGTGCTGACAGGAACAGCAGGATCCTGTCCCTGATTCTGAACCAGCTCTCCCTTCTCTGTCCTACACTTTTCCAAGAGCTGGACTATGTAGGACTTTCTGCGTTTAGACCAGCCCGAGAGCCTGTTCTCTCGACACAGCTGGCCCAATTGAGCCATGGTCAGTTTAGTCAAGTCAGCTTGTTGAACAGCAGAAGCCATGATAAGCAAAAAGATAAAACTTTGTAGAGAGAAAGGGGCTGGCAGTTAGAGTCCAAGCCCGACCATTCAATTGGGCCATCGCCACCAAATTCCTGAAAACCCAAGAAAAAAAATTACGATTATTCACGACGATACACTTGTCCCTCTATACATATAGAGTCTCCGGTATACTAAAAAAACACTCTGAAATAATCCAATCGATCGATATCTCGGACCCGTCGAGTCACAGTCATTATTACCGCTGGGCAGCATAGGCGTCCGCGTCTCGTCGACCCTGTGGGACATTGACGACCAGCAGCGGTAATACGGCCGCGAGTATCATGCCAAAGAGGAAAAAGAAGGCGTAGCGAATGTTGCCTGTCGAGTCGGCGATCAATCCTACCACCAGCGGCCCCAAAAACGAAGACGACTACCATATGCGTCAGTACACAATGTTGCATAGAGAGAGAGAGTGCGCCCACCTTGTCTGTGATGGAAAAGAGACCGTACCAGCGCGCTTCTTCGCCCATGGGTATCAGCTCTGCAAACACGGCGCGCGCATAAGCCTGGAAGGCGCCGTACAGCGATCCTGCGCCGAAGAGAGGCAAACACTACATGTCAGCAAAACTATACACACCCCTAGATCCCAGCTGCTTACCAAAGTAGACGGCCAAGACGTACAGTTCTTCGGCGGTCTTCAAGCCTCCCACGGGTTTATCCTTGAAAAACTTGAAGAATCCAAGGCAGCCGTACGCTGGCACCAAACTCGCAAGTAGGACTAGAGTGACGAGAACCGCCTTGTTGGAGAGTTGGAGGTGGTGCTGGAGTTTGGG